GCATTTGGGGAACCAAAAGTTGTACCTATCACTTACAATCTGCCGTCATGATATCAATGAGCAGCAAAGATTTATGTGATGCAAATTTCGCAAATTTTACTCCAAATTTTCTTATTCACTACCATTGAGGGTAGCGATTTTATGCTTTTAATTGTTAATACCCATGTAATACTTTCGCAGTCAACTGCAAAATGTCTTAGAAGAGTTGCTCATATCATCTTGGATAAAGATGTTTACTATCACAAATAGTTCTGTCTTAAGGCAAAACCATTGCAAGTCTATATTTACGAGTAATGAAAAAATCATTCCGGATTATAAACAAAGCCGGTTCTTATTCTCTACTATCACCGACTTTGTTTTATTCGAGTCTATCGTCTTCAGATTGGACAAAAAGCTTGCTAAGCAAAACAAAATGGCAAAAAGTCATTGCTGCAAAGGGACCATCCATCCCCACGAGTGCACCTCCGCAGATTCTGAGTAGTCCATCTGCGGACACAACACGAGATAACGGCAGCAGTAATGCGGCAGCAGCAGCCTTCTGCCCACGGCAAAGACACGGCACCGTATCAGCGATACATACACAACAGGTTGCCTTCCAAATGGAGTTTTTTTTTCTTGGCTCGGTACGTCCGAGCAAGATTGTCTGCGGTGATCAAAGTGTTCCCTTGCGGCATGGTCCATTTTCAGCATCGACTACCGCAAATGAGGTACTCCTATTAACGCTCCCGAGAGTGACGTTTCGGGACAGCTGCAGAGGCGCAACGGCCGGAGTTAGGGCCATTCGATTGCTGATTTACTGATCTCAAAACATGCTGGCTCCGTAACCTTGCTCCAAAGGGGCGCCAAGGTGTCAGGGAATGGACAACATGTCATCATCGGTATCACTACATCTGGAACTAGATTGCATTAGGCTAACTGGTGATGGGGGATACTCAGATTGTAAGGCACGAGGGAGATGTCCATTATCGAACACCATTTCCATTTCCCTCCGTACATCTGATTCAAACCTATTTTACAGACTGTGCATCTAGCTGGGCCAGAGGCCTAACCCATTTCAGCTGAAAAATCACCACAAAAGTTAAAGCAGTTCTCGCTTCTTCAGTTGGAATGCTACATTGAAGCTACTTGGAGTTGAAAGCGACGTGTGTGTATTCTGAAATTTTCTGTGTAGCAGAGAAATAAAATGGTAAAAATTCCTGCTGGTGTTCTGCAGATGCCTCCCTAAGCTCAGGCAAACTTCATGACGTATCAAGGATCATGAGGAACTCTATGAGGGACCCGGAGAGCATCAGCAGGGACTTTGCGAACTACCGGAACCCTCTACGATTCAGCTCGTCTTCACGTTTTAATAATTCGTGTTTATAAGCCTGTTGATCTTTAGATCAGTGTCAATAAGGAAATGTTGTAGTGGATGGATGCTACCTAAAACGCCTGGCCATCTCAAAAATCATACCCAGTTATTTGCTTATCTTGCTTTGGGCGTATCTTGTCTAGCCTTAGTCGGCGCGCTAAAACACGACTTTGACACACTGGACCTGAGGTAACTGGAGTGCCAGGTGTCCTCAGCTCCTTGAACCACGGCATTTTTCTTCCCCATGTCATCTGGTATCTCCATTCAACAGCTGTGTGGAAGAATCTGCCTGTTGTTTCAGACTTGATCATTTCTCACTTCTATTTAGTTCTGTTTGGTGTATTAGTATCAAATTTTATCGAAATATTTGGTTCCATTCCAAAGATAATTTTTTCAAATAATGTTTAGGGTAGGACATTTATTAATGTGTCTGATATGCATTAAACTCATACCAATATGTATATTCATGGATTGCCCATATTGTGCTACGCTTTATATTCCTATCAAAATAAGATTTCAATATGTATTCATATCTGCCCTTGCAGGGACCAGCTTTACGGTGGAGTGGTCGAAGGTGAAACTGAGGGGCAGTGGCGAGGGTAATTATCATCCTGTCACTTGTAATGTCCTTGGCCTTTGCAAGTTGCTCATGATTACACTTGATGCGATGCATGTGACAGTCAAGGACACTGCATAAGGGCGTTAATTTATACATAAGGGACACTGACGATTTGTCTGTGGAAAGGAGTGCACGCCTTTGAAAATTCTAATCCAACAAGCAACAAACGATTTGTTGACTAACAATATATTTAGATAACAATGCTAAAGTACATTTTGAAACGAATGATATAACAATATATGTATGTCACAATTTCTTTATGCTTAGGACTGCATTGTTACAGTAACATCTATCTTCAGTGCACAGTAAACCGGTCATATTAGCCCCGATGAAGATGACAAACGATCATCGAAACGTCGGCTCTTGTTTAAAAACTGGTTGTGAATAAATAACTTTGCTACTCACATTCACCAACCTGATGAAATTATTCACCGGACTGGCCAGTAACATCTGTAGGATCGATGTAATGAGAATAACAATATTTGATGAATTCCAATTTTTCATCACTTTGTTCACAGGCGGCAGATTCAGCTTCATGGTGACGCTATTCAAAGATGGCCGGATTGCCTACTTCTACAAAGAGGCACGTGAAACTCATCGAACGTTCTAGTTCTTTCGCCATATTCCAGTTCTTGGCTGCGATAGGTTAGGTCATGTTGATTTGATTAAATATGGATGACATCTCTGGGAACTCCAAAACTGATGCGAGTGTAATAATAAAACGTTTGGCATATAAAACAAGCTGCCTTCATTATGAAATCCACGTGGTTGAACAAATGACATGTACACATAGAACAGTATGGCGGATGATAGACTGATCATTTTTATTCCTTCACATCTTCTTCCTTTTCTTTGGAATTGATTTTGGCATTCTACAACATCAGTATGGTTTTCTATTATTATTTTGCAATTCACGGTAGAGGTATATATATTTGCTTATTTTGCAGCTGCTTTATAACAGAATAGTTGAAAACTTTCTTTTATTTGGAAACGGCCTAAACTTTATGCGCCCGCGGATGTCTTCCATGTAATCAAATCAACGTAGACTTACTATCTACTGCTTTAATCTTTAAATGGCACCAAGAATAAATCGATCATGACATTATATCAACACCTCAGTGCTGTCTCATCCCATGCCCAATATCAGTTTCGAGTGACATTTTGTTCTGATAATCCGAATTTCAAACGACAGCGGCATACTTAGAATGAACAACAAGACGTGACCTACAAACGTCACTGATGTGAAAATAAGTGCCTCATTCTTCTCTGCCCGTTGACAGATATTGAATTGGAATGCATTATTGCCTTGTCTGAAGTTGTTTTGTTGGAGATATTTATCAATGTAACGATTCGTCTTTCACTGTCAGATCCCTACGCCAGTGGAGAGAATAGACGACTCGTCTTATCCCGTGAGAGTTGGCATATCAGACGCTTATACAGTGGATGTACTGTTATATCCAAGTGCAAGTAAGCAATATTATATATCATTAACTACAAGATAAGATAGACCTTGTCCCCGGGGACACAAGCTGACAAGATTGCTAGGAAACAACAGCTATACTTTGTCGATTGCCGACAATGCTCATCAAGAATAAGCTGCAGCACCCGCTGCTATATCCCTGTTATTTGACGTGATGGGACCACTTTACCGAGGAAAAATACCGGAAGAGCATTTATCTCAGATGAATGGACTAGGAAATATCTTTGGGTAAATCTAAACGCAATGTCGTTGCCAAAACAAATTATTTTTGTTCCTTCATATTTATGTATTTCAACTGGTGTGCACTTGATGTAGTTACACTGACTTCTCTCGATTCTCCATTATTCTCTGTACGCACCTAGTTAAATTTTGTATCATATTGTTTGGGTTTTCTGATAGGGTTCTCAAATGACGCTGTTTTTATCATCAAACTCATAATCTTGACATTTTCAAGGGCATTCATGATTCAAGAGGATAGCTCAATGTGAAGAGATTCCAACGCTTTAGTTGTGTCTTATCATCATTTTGACCTCTGCTATAGAAGTGAATCCTGCACACTAACATCGAACATGGCAGCAGGCCAGAACTCTGCATTTCTGTAAGATCAAAGACCCATGGCCATGCAGCCGTGCGTCTAAATCTTCAAAGGGAAATCTTGTTGATTTTCCACTGACAGGGCAGTTCTTTACACTTCACATTCATTACTCTAATGACCTTGCCAGAGACGGCCCGTTGATGGGGAAAATGAAACATGTCACAGACGTGTCACATCGTAAAATAGGTCGCTGCCGGGGTCCACTTAAGAACACATTAGGGTTGTAGCATGATCGCTGAGACTGCAATACGGGCGGTACTTCTAAGTAAAGCCCTCTTCAAGTACACTGGACGGCAACCGCCGAGCGACTGGTTTGAACTCCCCCCCCCCAGCATATCCAATTTTTTTGTTGTGCTTATGGTTGTGTTAATACTTAATACGTTATATACGAATAAAACAAACTAAATGATCGCCGCTGCTCAGTGAAATGGGAGATATTACAACTAGTACCTGATGAGGGCTGTATATTGTGAAGACGTATGATACATTCTTTCAAGTCAGTGTTTTCTTTCAGATGGCCACAGAAAGACGATCTACGAGTACAACACGATCGACTTGGATTTGGCCAAAGTCAAGAATGGATCTTCGTTCCTCCTGTCACCGCTCCCGAGTAAGTTGATGACGCCCGATCTTCTCCAAGGCACTCCTGTAATGGAAATCGAACTCCTGGGGGTTGGGATGAAATTAATCAATCATCAACTTTTCCTCGTTTCTCTTCTAACGAGGTTGATGGGAATCGAATGGATCAGTCTCCAGACTGACCATTAAGAAAAAGCCATTAGGCTACTGGATATTAACAGATGAGATCATTTTGTAAGATCAAAACAAGTATAAAGTAGCTGAACTGGCATCGCTTTGCTACGCCCCCTGGTAGATCTAACAAACGTACAGGGATGAACTGATTAAAGGATGTAAGTACGCTGCAATGGTTGTACGTTCTTCCAAATCTTTGGCATTAGCTGAACGAGGAATGAGAATACTGCTTTTGACTATTGCTTTGTATTGCAATTTCAATAAATAAAATAGCAATAAATAAGATAAAAGATAAAATAGAATTAAGAAAAACAGCCGTACATGGATGAACTGATTAAGGGATGTACGTACGCTGCAATTGCTGTGGTTTATTCCAAATCATTAGCATTAGATAACAAGTCCGTTTTTGACCATACTGTAAATCGTACAAAGCAGCTGCAAATATGTGCCATGAATTGCAAAAAAAATATTGGAATTCGAACTGGATACTTATATCGTAGAATGCCAAAATCAATGCCCAAAGCAAAACAACAAATGTGAAAAAATACATTTCCATTTATTTATGAATATGTTTATTTCAGTTGGCCTCTTGCTATGTTGTGATCAGATCATGCTATATTTTTTACTTTATGTTGATGTCTTCCTGGTGGAACACATAGCAATTCAAATAATCATCTTTTTCTCCTTCTTCACGTCAGCCTGCACGCAGTTCTCTGATTGCCAGAGCTGCATCAGCGCCAGTATAGGGTTCGAGTGTAGGTGGTGCAGATCGTTACGCAGGTATGCTTCAAATAAACGGTACTCTTAGAGAGATTCTTACACGTAAATCCCACGAACAAAGACTCGGTACAGTGTTAATTGTAATGGCAAGAAGTTTAGCAAATGTCACCCATCAGCAATGTGATGTAACAGTGGCTCTACGGTAGATATCGGATCTACGTGCTGTATACCCGTGCAGCGTGGTTACCGCTGCCTGCCTTGGCGCCATCGGGTCCCATATCGCCGCCCTAAGTACGGCTACGGTACGGTTTGGAGCGGAGATCCGCGCACGCCTATCAACAGAAATGACAGGTAACGAAAATTTGTCTTGGCAGGAGGACGACGGGCGTGGAAAAGGTCATAAGTCTTGGCATTATCCATCTCGGGAACTTCTGCTGTCATACGTGCAAAGTTTGATACGGCTCACCAGCACACATTTCTGTGTTCAAAATGGTCTGGAAAGTGAGCATTGAGCATTGAAAATGTCCTTCTGCGGGATTTTGTAAAGCCACAAAATATGCCTGGGAGTCAATTTTCCTCAGCAAGGCTATTATAAGAATGGCAGGATAGAATCCGGTATATGTGTGGTTTATTGCTACTGTAAACTTTACAAACTGAAATAATGTACTGTGTGAAGCATTTCTGTAGCGCATGTGATTTATCATGGGCTAAAGAGATAATGCTTTACACGTTTCACGTGTATTATGGAATATAGAAAAGCGTGTGGTGTTTTTCAATGCAAACCACTAACGTACATTTGAATAAAGTATATAAAAATCAAAGTGCTTATGTGTATAAAAGGCTGTTGTAACATTCAGTATGCTCCTGCCATGTCCTTATTTAGGGATACAAAAGATTGCTTATTATTACACTTCTTATACATGCTAGTGATCTACTGCTTTACTGTCTACCATTGTATCTCACACACGTCTATGGTAAGGTAACAAATAGGGCCGTCAAAAAGCTTTCACGTACAAGTACCGTATCTAGTCCACGTTTCCAGATTCACTCTTCGCCACCAATGACCCTGGAACACACCTAATGTTAGACATAACCATAGGCATACGGAATCAAAAGACTGGAGAGCCATTCGTCAGTATTTGCGAAGCGGAAGGTGCTTTATCAAAGAGAGAGGAGGCTGGAGTATTACTAAGTCTCTGATGAAGACAGTGGGTAGATGATGGATTGCAGCGTCGATAGAAACGACATGATAGCGGAAGAGATATATGCAGCGTCGGAAATGAAACACGTAGATCGCACAAGGTCGTCTGCTACATTCTTCCAGACAATCAACTACATCGTGTATGTTCTATTAGATACTCTTCCTGTCTGGCGAAGGTGCTATTTCAGACGCAGTCCGATCGTTAATCATCACTTAAGTCCAACCTTCAGCCAAATTAGACAGCCAAGATATCTAGTAAGGGCATCTTCGTGCACAAAGTACTTGGTGGAAGGTCCATATTTTTCAAGTTAAAGGGTGCAGGTCAAAAGCAATTCAAAACACAGCACAGACGGATGGCAATTACAGGGAGAATGGTGCAAATCTTCGTAAAGTTTTAATAGAATTTAACCTGCAGCTTTGAATTTTGTAAAATGTAAAGGAATTTTATCACTTTCTAAAGGGATTTTATGTAAATTGGCACGAGATATTCTTACACGTATATCCCAAAACTACTGTCTGATCAACTTCTAGTACTACAGTAACTATGTTTGCTATTGTACGGTTTGTGGATGATGAATAGCTTCACTGGATATTGTGTGATCTTAGTAGAAACATAGTCTTTTGGTGATCTTTTCAATGGTAGAAGAATGTTTGTTCCAATACATTGTTTTCACTTAGGGCTTCGACCAGTCACTCTGGTCTTCTTCAATAGACTAACCCGGAGGGGCTTATCACGTGGCTTCTCTGAAGTGTGATGTCAACAGTGGGTCAAAGGTATCTGGTAAATGATGTCGGCCCCCGTCGCGGTTGAGTCATGGGCCCTAGTATGACATGGGTATCATAATAGCGAGAAGTTTTAACAAATTAAAACAGTAGTTTTTTTCTCTCTTTGTCCAGATGCTCGGATGGTGGAAAGGACCGTAACAAACAGCAATGGGTAGATGCCCGCTGTGACGACCAGGTGAGAAATTTTCCTCATGAGTTTAAAAAAAAGTGTATAAACATCCTAGCTCAAAATGTCACCCATGCGTCTGCCAAAATATACATACAAGTTGTTGTGGCTCTGATACGTCCAGAAGTACGTAGTTGTAAGTCTACGCCAAATTGATATTTCTTGATGTGTATAACCATTATACTAGGCGCACTTGGATGTCTTAAATATAACTGTTACTCCACTGGGTATTCAACATTTACGATTTAGTTGACTGTCCACAGCAGTTTATGTATCTCACGCGGAGACTCGGTGGGACTTCAACAAATGGCGCATTAAAACGCACAATAAAGCGTCTGTGGGTAGTGCGAAAGTGTCGCTTTTAATACGGGCATTCGATGCAATTTCAGGGCGGCAAAACTAGAATGTTCTGAATAAGACAATCTGCATGTCATACTTTGGGGATTTAAAAAAATAGAAACAAGCCCCAAGATGAGTATTATATTTTCTGGGTGGTACCCCTAAAATCGGACCCTACCAGTAGCCGTTTTTCGTCACAATTTTGCTCCATGAACGTCGATATACTTTGGGATAGTGTTGTTTCAACTTACCACGCAGATAACTGACTTTAAAAAATCAGGTTCTCAGGCCCTAAAAACTGCACTGGGCACCTTTAAAAAAAGTTTAATGTTGTGCCTTGCATCTCAATGTGACGGTTTGAAGGAGCCCCGAGCTCTGATGTGATTTTAATCGAGCCGCGCGGAGTGCTTGGCGAGGCCGCGGATGGCGCAGGACGACTTTGCGGCGTGTTGTGATGGATGGGCCGGCTTTCCAACGGCAGGCAGCCGGAGCCCGAGCGATCTCCGCATCCCCAGTGTACCTAATCTCCAAGCAGACCCTTTTGTGGTGGCTGCAAAGTCAGTATCAAATTGGCCAGGCAGAATCCATTTGCCAGGCAGTTTTACCATTTGCCAATCTTAGTGTGAGTGCCGGCAGAGGTTGGGCTACCAGTACGAAAAATAAAGCCTCACAACACGCCTAAATAAGCCAAAGCCTAAAACTCAGCTAAGAGTACAGAGTCCCGTCCGTGGACTTCACGCTTTAGCCGGGTGGTATTTATTCACAGACTTAGCGGGGAAATCTCGCGGCAAATAGAGTCGTTCGGCGACAGCTCAACTCCGAGGTCTGTCTGAGTGTGAGGATGTCGGAGTGTGGCGACCTCTGCCACGGTCCTTCCAGCGGAAAATGTCAGTGAAAGGCCGTCCCCTCCCGATAGACGGGTGGCAACAGGGGTGACATTTCGCCGCTTCACTGTGAAGTTCGCATGATAAATCCTCGCTCATCAAGACAGTCGCACGTCTGGCGTGTTACCAAGGGCTTTGAACTTATAAACACAAGCGAACTGACACGGCGTGCTACAAATAATCTATCATGAACTTCAGACAGTATTGCTGGAAAGGGCACGGTCAAAATGTTATGATGTAGAAGTTGAGAATAAAGTCGCTGTGAGAGTCACTCGATCATTGCGTAGTTGACACTTCGTTACAAAAGCGGGTGGAATCAATTAATCGCTGACAATGAAAGATGGGTTCATCATCAGTCACATTTATCTCCTTAAAGTAACTCTTAAACAAGTAGACAGACTTTCCTTAACTCTAAAACTAGTATATATATGTTTGCCTTCGCAGTTTTAGCTATGTTTTCTCTTCCTCTTTTCTCCAAACAAATAAAGCTAAAAGGCAATGACCTTGACCATACGTCTGTCACCATGGTAACTGGTGCTGTAACATACACCCTGAGGTGTTGGGTTACGTTCTGAAACAGGACAGAGATGGTTTTATTGCTTATTATGCCTTTACTTTCCACCTATCGCAAACTCTGACAATCTGATATATTGACCATGAGACTGTATAGAACATGTACCACACTCGTCCAATACGTGTTTCGAAAACCAATGGTAATTCTCATGAGTTACGTTACGTAACGGTGATTAAAATGGAATGCAATTGTAGGTTGATATGATCATCTCAGTGGGGTAAATGAGACTCTCCTAATATTGAATATCCTGCGCTAATGAATCAATACATTTCTGCCCAATATAACTACAACAGACTGCATTAACTAGTAGTAGCCCTGGGTGTTGCCGACACAACGTGCACTCGACGTTCCGTGTAATTAAGACATTACTGCTGCCTAAAGTTACCAATAGCTATGAATACCTATAGTTGTGATACCTATAATTAGACACATATGTGGAAGAATTTAGGAAAACGTACTACATTGTACTTTTTCATCCTATTTATATGAAAATCACGGTGAAAATCAAACAGCTCATTAGGTAACAGTTAAGACAAAATCCATCTTAAACTTTGGTGCATAGGGACGGTGTCCATCTCTATACCTCTTGGACAGCTACACTCCAAATAGTTGGCTAGTCCACTAGTATTGCAGTGGGGGTTCTACTATCATTCTCTTTCTTACAAGTGTGGGGAAAATGAGAAAGCAGTGTGCCCCATTTTTAAAGCCCAGGCGTTACTTCAACCTATGAATTCCTGGAAGCCAGGTGAACATTGTCATAACTACCGTAACGCTAAATAACCATACTTGTGATAAGAAGAATAGGCCGATGTGCGATGTAGTTTCTCTTTGCCTAACAACATCACGATCGCGAAGAGTCTCTATATCCACATACCCTGTAAGTTACATGTTAACGTATGTTCTGTTTCAGTCTAAACGCATGGTTTGTGAGGCTCCGAAAGTGGCAACAACAACAGCGCCTACCCCGCCTGAACTGCTGCTGGATGGGTCACTCATCGCCCAGGACAACCTGACAGGTAATGGCGAGCTCTGGACAAAACTCACTCTTTACGCACACTTTAAGGAATGCGTAAAGATTACGCAAGCTTTAAGGTGTGCTTAAAGATAGTATTTCGTGCAGTGCTCGAGGATCTCTTAGGAATACTAGACTGTAAAACCCCTGTCACACATTCACGAATTTGGTCTCCCAAACACTGGCTGAACGCCCCCTAGCCATGGTTAGGAGTAGGTCTAAGCAAAGTTGACTGGGTCAGCTGGTGTTCGGCGAGGTCGACTACTGTTCGGCTGCGCCATCCGAATGTTTCAAACTGTTTTAAAACATTGCGGGGATGGTCATGAGGTCCGGCCTTGGTTGGCTGTTTTTATGTTGTAAGTTAGCAGAACACCAGCCAACCATTCGAGAGTAAATCAGCAGTTTTCAGGATGCGTTCGGGGGTCTCAGATTCAACTCAAATACGTTTTGATTCATATATAAAGGTAGACGTGGCCTAGATTTGATCAAAGGCCCATCGAACGTCAGCCGAACCTGGTCGGCTGGTGCTCGGAGGCAAGGTCGGTGGAAGGTCCTGAATGTGTGACAGGCGCTTAAGGTTTCAATGAAAAACGCATATTGAATCTGGTACGTGGTTAAGCATCAAAGAGTTCCAATCACAAATTACTGTCTGTTGATTTTTTCTGTCACTACAACTCTGAAATAATCAATCTTACCACTCCTCTTGGCGAGGTTGTACCTCATACCACATCGTCCCTGGAGACAAATCTTCGATATTTCATTTTGCTACTTGTATCAACAGCCATCTTTTACAATCAATGTCAGCATCGCCTTGGGCAACGTAGCTGAAATAGTGTAGGTAATAAAACTACTTTTCCTTCGGCAGACACGACGACGAGACAGACATCTGCTCATCTGATCCCTAGAGATGCAGCTCATTCGACGTAATGCATTTACTAGAACTCTGTTTCCTCTGCAAATGCTGTTCATCTGAGACAATAAGTAGTTACTAAAACTACGTTTCCCTCTCACAGACACGATGACGAGACCGGAATCTGCTCACCTGCCTCCTCAAGAGACCACGCCCAAGTCCTCCAGCAGGCAGAAGACTGTGCGCAACTTTCTCGACAACGGACCTTTCCCGGTGGAGGTGGAAGTCGAAGGTAACGCGAAAGAAAATAAGAATAAGAGGAAAAGGACTTCTGTGAAGACGCGGTATCTTGAGACAGAAGTCATCATCGGTATATTGATCGCCGTGGTTGTCTTAGTGATCGCCATCGCCTGGATCATCCATGCATATTCCAGGAGATCCTCTCCGGAGCTGGTCGTTGTAGAGGTGAGTACTCAGGGAGAATCATGGCTTCTATCAGCCCTATAGACTCGTTCCAAGCTTCATTTTCGTGTAAACATAGCCGCGGTGTGCATTAGGAGTATTCCAGTGAATGGACTACTCGTATGTATCTGAGATTGATATACACGTTAATGAATAACGAATGATTATCGAAGGATGAGAAAAGAGAGCTTAATTGCTAGAGTAATTAACAAGAAAAGCTGTACAGAGAATTTCTCACAGCAGCGTTTGCAATGTTGATATTTTTCATACGTGTGTGCAACTACAGACAGCGTTTTGCAACATAATTTTTATGAACCCTAACTAAGTTCCTGTAATTTTCTGTTCAACAGTGGCGTGGTCCAGATGTGGTAAAACCGGAGGTTTGAAGAGCTTCTCACAGTCTTAAGTTAAGTCTGTTGACATCTTTGGGGAAGATCTTCAAGAGTTTCATCCCTACAACACCTGGATCCTCCAGGGACAACAGGAATCCTACGAAAAGTTGTTTTCAGGTGTCTTCTTCAACACTTGATTGTGGCCTTTGTCCAAGTGTTAGTAAGACTGTTATACTTGTAACAATGATATCGCAGATAGGCAGAAGCAGAACTTTCGGGCATCAAAACGAAGACTGTACACTTATTATCTATCCCTACAGGGCCAATTGGTCTTGATCACTAGCGTTGTAATCTATTGATCTTTTTCTAAATAGATGGGAACCTGTATTTCAATTTGGGAACGGCGAGCGACCAAGCCAAGGTCTTGAAAGAGTAAAAGGTACATTTTGGGCTTTTAAAAATACTCGAAAAGAGCAGTAATGCACTTATACTCGGAGAAAATTTGTACACTCTGTGAGTAATGTTTGTCAAGTATGTTGAGCCCTATACTACATATATGTAGAAACATGGTTTCTGGTGTCACAGTGTCTTTCAACTGGTGGGAAGAAAGCAGCGAATTTCATCAGTCGTCTGCAAACGTAAAGCTCCTGTCACACATTCACAACCTTCACCCGAACTGGTTCGGCTGGAGTTCGGGAGCAGTCTGTCCAGCTTTCGTCTGGCCACGCCTACCTTTCTACATGAATCGAAACTAAATGGAGTCTAATCTGACCACCGAACACTACTAACTTACTCCCGAATGCTGCAGACTTAGGGCTGCCAACAACTCCTAACCATGGCGCAGCCGAATAGCAGCTGTATTCGCCGAAACACCAGCCGACTTTGCGCCGACCGACTAACTCCTAACCATGGTGGGGGAGGGGGATGTCGGCCTGTGTTCGGGAGGCTAATATGTGACAGGGGCTTGTACAAGATCCGTTTTATGATGTAAATTAGAGTGAAGGTCTTGTGCAACTATGTGTGCATTATTACAAATCGTTATTGTCCACAGTCTGTGGAGTAGACTCCATTGTCCAGAAATCTAAAGGTAACAACATGATGTACTTTCTATCCGCGTATACGTAGTGAGTTTGTAAACTGTTTGAGCGAGGAGTCCTATGAATAGTTTGGACTTGCTGTTGCCTACGTGTACGCAACTTATGTAAGTACAAATCCCTAAGCCACTCTCGCAAACATTGAATTGGTTTTTCGATAAGGCACTCCCCCAAATCAGATGGATTTGTAAACTTAAGATACAAGTGATTTGCTATCAGAACGCATCACAATTGACACTTTTCCAGTAATATCTTGTGGAGTCGGCATTTAAAGGAATTAAGCAACGGAAACAGATGGTGTCTTAGCCGTCTTTTGAATAATTGAACCTGATTTCGTTGGATTTGCACACGGAAAATGACTGATCTGGCACTTAAGCAGCTTTAATAAGTGATTTGTAATATCTCCGGTCGTACGTAAATGATCAATGATATACATGCTGACACCTGATACCAAGATAGAAAGATCCGCTTTGTCATGACACTGCAAAAAATCCATTCTTTAAGCACACCTAAAAGCATCCGTAAAGGTGCCGTTTCTGAAGTCACGTCGCTTGTACCTTTATGAATTACGCATGCTTTAGTTGGGCTTAAAGATTCGTGTGGTACATGTGGCATTTGTTGATTCCGTGCATGGTGTCTCATTTCAAATCCTCCATGAATCGTGTGATTTTACGACACCATGCAGTATTGCGGCACAACCCAGAATAGTGCAATATTCACACGTTGACAATGTCAATATCAGTGTTCTCTTTAGTGTACATGTACATAAGCGGTTCTAAATGGTACTAAATATGTGTAAAAGTCAGCTATCTCTTTTCGCACCGTGACAGATAGGAAGCTTTTCTGTACGTTTGACCGGCACTCTCGTATGTACATTTAGTGACTGTGGATGCAGGTCATCCAAATAAACGTTCCAGGGTGAATCGACCCACAAAATATTGATTCTTCACTTCAAGACGCACTGCACGAAATCCTAACTTTAAGCATACCTTAAAAATGCGTAAAACTACGCGTGAGGGAACATACGGAACCTTTACGCATGCTTTAATGCGTGCTTAAAGAATTGAAAGTCATTGAAGTGACACAAAGATGAAATTTAAAAAATGCAGCGTTGCTTGGTGTACCCGATGTTGTTAGAGAATTACAAGCTTACATATCACCTTGTGTTTTACTGGCTGTACGATTACCTTACCAAGGGTCGAAAATAATTTCTCATGAATTAAAGACATCCAATATAATTTCAGAGCGGAAAAACTGCATAAGGCAATCTTTATGATACTGTCACATATTACTGCACTACATTAGCACATTCCATCAGTATTTCATACTTTGGGCATTTAAAGGAATGAAAAGACAACCCTTAAGTTGAGTCCTTTAGTGGTCCTCAAATCAGTGGGATTTTTCTTTTATATGGAAATCAGCTTAAACATCACAACAGCTCATTAGATAACAGTTAAGGCAAACCCCATCCTACAAACTAGGTCACGATGTCGAACGTGTCACGAAATTTATGGCTGTATGGAGATTGATTTAGTGGGAGGAATGGAGAAGGGAGTTGAGGGCAGAAAAACGTAATCAGCCAGGCGGTGACAACCACCTGGGTGACGGGCATGGCGCCACCCTGACCCGCCTAGCCTGTTCCCCGTCTCCGGTAGCAGTGGGTCCCTGACGCCACTCTAACCTACAAAACTAATACTACCGACGCCCTTTCTACCTGATTTATAGCTTTTTCATTAAAACTAATGACAAGTTTGCTGCAGTTTACGTGTCACGTGGCTTCTACCAGAGGCGGCACCAATGGCTGCATCTGTAGGTAATGGATGAGCACTTATTATCGCATTTAACTAATGAGATATGAGTAATTACAACTGCACTATATTAGCGCAATGTTTTGTAATAAGCCATCTGTATCGGGTGTTCATTAACAGGCTTTTAGGGCGCTCCAAGACAGAGGAGAAATTAGCGAATGTGTATTACAAAACGCACTGTGAATTACAGCTGTCAGGTTTACTACCGTCAAAAGCCGGAGCGCAAATATAAAAACGAGGCCACATGAATACACAGTTCCCGCCGTACGTAGAAGACAGCTAACACGTATTAAAGCATAGATTTTTCAGGCTTTGTGGTCTTCAAATACTGTGCTAAACTGTTGTTGGTCCAATGAGTAAACAAGAACTTCATGTTTGACATGAGAGATCTGTTGGTATCTGAAGTATCAGACATTTCACAGTAACTAATCTTAAAAACCATATCATCCAGACCTAGACAGTGTCGCTAGCCTCAAGAAAGTTTACATCACCCTCAAAACGAACCCTCACAGAGAAAGAAGCAAGCCGAACTGGCAAGCTCATTTTCATTTAAGCTCCAGGGTACAGTAAGAGTTCGCACCCTCCAGCTGCGATCATCTATTACTGACAAACAGTCCGATCTGGAATAAAAGTAGCAGCAACGTCTACCTAATTGACTCATATGTCTCCAATCCTTGTCTCTGATCCAAGAGATAACTCCATTCAACATGCATAATAAACGCATTTATCATCACGAACTGTGGAATGCAACTCATGTAAGGCAGATAGCAACACCTCCGCGGTATCATTAATACTTCCTGGTGCTGTGAACAGTGAGTCTGGAGAACAATGCATCAATCCCGTCTGCGTTGCCAAACTCCCGACCTTATGTTGTATTTCATTACCGCAACAGGTGCCAAGGCTTTCCTTCATCAGTCTGTATCAAATTGCACAATACAAAAAACAAGCTCATTTCCCAAGTGTATTATGATTGTGTGCCGGAAGTTTGACGTAGTAAATGAAACTCGTACGGCAAACACAAAGCCCCCTTCTTCGTGTGCCCTAATTGCACCAAAACCCTGAGGAATATCGTGTCGACGTACTGAATGTCTCCTATCCAAGTCACATTGCAGAAGAGTTAAGCCCCCTTTCCAAAGAGAAGGAAATTAGTCCCTTGGAATTAAGTAGGGAAATCCCTTTTCCAAGTAAACATCTGCGACCAAAAAGCTGTGGGATTACACGGAAATAAATGAACTTCAAAGGACGTGAAGTTGGAAGAAGAGAATGTGTTTGTAGGTCAGCAGCTTCCCCAGGCAGCTCGTTGATTGAACGAGAGGTGACATCAGTAGTTCTGGCATGGTTTGCTAGCGGAAGCAAACTAGTATATAGCTATTTGCGTTGAATGTCAGTGCTTGTGATGATCTGTTCTGCTGGTGCCAGAAGGATTTAGGCGTTTTCGTAGAACTATCGTGGAGTGGAACTCAGTAGCGGCACCCTACTGTACATGGTGGCAGTGAGTTCAACTCGACGTTAGTTCTAGGAAATAATGAGTTAAGATAAATGTTCACACACAGAATTCTGCAACATTAATGAGGGAGATCAATTAAATAAGAGCACCACTCCTGCCTGAAAGAGGCACCTTAAGTCGTTTTGTTACAGTTTGATCAGTGGTAAGTATACACGGTCCAAGATGCTCTCACGATCCGTGGTTCTCCGCCCACAACACCCATTTCACTCCCGCACTAATATTTCATTACACAGAGGATAGACGCAATCAAAGCTTAATACGGGGAGTAAAGTAACTGCAAAATTGACAATTAGAGTCGAGATTCTGATGAGAGCAGAATGAGACCAGATGTTGGGTGCACCCGATCACGAACAAGGACAGATTACGGATTGAATGAATTGGATTTACGGCGAAATGGAAACAAAATGACAAGAAAACCCGATGAAGGTCATGAAACTGTGAGCTTGAATAGCAAGGAAAGCGTTATACACAATGTATTTATATGATGATTATATAATGGCGATTAGTTTATGTATTATAACGTAACTGTCACGTTTTTCAATAGTTAGTTACAGCTTTAGATCTAAATTATTATTTTTCTCCTTTCTAATCAACATTAGATTATATGTATTACAAAACGATTTACCACCTATCTGCTTTGAGGCAACGAAGAGATCTTTGGAAGAAACCTTTTTGGATCGCACAGAGATTAGAGTTGCTCTACTGAAGACATGATATGTCTAGTGATGAAGAATAATCTCATTTGTCATTCCAATCAAGTATTCTCGAAAACAGGCGCCATGAATAGAAAATGCAATAGAGAAGATATTAGAGGAACATCCAGCGACCTGATACCTGCGACGGATGGAAAACAACAAACCAGGGCAGCTCAGGATGCTTAAAATAAATCTTTGTGAACGAAACAAAATGGGGCCAATATTGACCCCGCTCGGTCATTATTTTTGTCGCAAAAAAGTTCGGGTGTTTAAGAGTTAAAGACTGTAAGTAAGTA